ATGAATGCCAGTCACTTGGAAATAAAAGCTGGAAAGGGGATTGTCCTGCTTCAAATCTTCCTGAGGGCCTCTGGTTGGTGTTGCTAACATCTTTTTTGGACTGGGGTAAAAACTCCCAAAAGAGAGGATGGACCATTCTGAGTCTGGTTGTACCACCAAAGTAACTTTTCGAAGCTTTGTTGACACCGTGTGAGGAAAATCCTGGTCTGATTTGGGTGAGCTGCTCCGAGTTTCTTAGCCATGCTTTGTCAGTTTTAATGCTGAACAATGGTATAAAGAAGAAATTTCCAGAGTTGAAAAGCAGTTTGAAAGAGACATTGATTCCCACAGTATACACATGTATGTCTTATGTCTCTGTTATTAACTATGCACAAATATGGTAGGTAGGGAGATTTTGCATCGATACAAAAGCCTGGTAAAACATTTTGTGAATGTATATGTCACCAGATCATCCAAGGGGAGAGAAGTGTACAGTGGTGCCTCGCAAGACAAAAGTAATTTGTTCCGTGAGTAGCGTTGTCTTGCGAAATTTTCGTATTGCGGAAAGCGGTTTCCCATAGGAATGCATTGCAATGCACTCCTATGGGAACCTCGCAAGACGAATGAATTATTTTTGTCTTGCGAGGCATCGGTCTTGAGGGGAAAAATCATCTTGCGAAGCACAGCCATAGAAGAAGCCATCTTGCGAGGCACCACAGTGATTGCAAAAACCATTCGTCTTGCGGGTTTTTCATCCCACGAGGCGTTTGTCTTGTGAGGCACACTGTAGAATATACGCAAAGGCCAAGACATAAACAGCTCAAGAGAGTGTGTTAAACATGGTGACCAATTTTTTTGTTCAACAACATGACTGCAACACAACATCCAGAAAGTTTCACCCAGCTTGTGGGGACAAGGCTTAATTTTTTTCGTTGATCTCAGTAGTCAAGGATTGGTATCTGCCACCCTCCCTGATCTGTGCTGTAAGGAAGCTGCTGCATGGCAGGATTGGGTGTGGACCAATTTGGTCCCTACCCCTCTTGAGCCAGCTGGTGTAGGTGGCCGTGTTGTCTCTTGCAGCACCAACTCCATCTCTGAGTTGTGGCAGGGTAGGAGGAGGTTTGTGCCAGCTGATAATAAGATTGTTGCTCTTCTGGCATGTTTGAAGGCCAGTTCACTACATTTTTCAGAGTATCTCTCCATAGCTCCAGATGGAGACATTCTGATGCCTCTACCCATTCACCAATCTTTTCTCCTCCACTTTCCTCACATGCGGCCAAACCATTCTCCACTTCCTCCTCTCTCTCTCTCAGTCTCCATTTCCTTGCCCTTTAGTACCCTATAGTCAGGTGTACCTTATTACAGGTGGACCGCTCTTAGAGCTCAGTTCTCACAGTCCCATGACACTGGCTAGCAGGATTCCTTGGAAAGAGCTGCCCCTCTTTCCAAGCACCTGTTGAGGATGCTGGGGTCTGTGAAGGTGCTGTTGCCTGAGGCGATGTGGGTGAGGTGACTCTTATTTCCCAATAAGGTGCCAAGATGGGTGCGGACCAATGGGAGGCATCAGGGGTGGCCTATAGAACACCTTATTGAGTTCCCTACATAAGAATTCCCCTAACATAAAGGAGGAAGCACTGTGGTGCATACGAGGCAGTGTGTTTTGTATACTGAGGAGATATTCCAAACAACCCTGTTGCTCATCCAAGCAACTATGAATAACATTGGCCTGCAAGTCCAATTGGTCAGCTAGGCATGATTTTAGAAATCTGCATTTGGAATGTTTGGGAAATGGCTTAGCTTTCTTCCTCACAAAAGTGGAAAAAATCATTATTCCACACCCTAGTGTTGGATTGTAATCCATGTTGGCTACAGTCCAATGTGGAGAATGGGGGAGGATAGCCTAAATAAACAGTCCTGGGAAGCTCTGATCCATGGGGTCACGAAGAGTTGGACACGACTAAACGACGACAATGACGGGAAGCAAAGGGTAAATCTACCACTGAGTCTGGCAAAGCACCAAAGTACATGGACTCTGTGTACATTATTTCAAAGCTGAAGCGGGAAGTCACTGCACTGTGGGAGAAATGTGGTGGGGAAGGTAATGGGGAATTCCCCTTGAGAAGGATATTTCACAGTCTGTTCACAGTCTTGGTAAACATTCAGTGTTGCTTAAGAAGACAAGGGGAACATTGAAGTCCTTCCAAATCTGTGTTATTCCACCTATTGTCTATTGTCTGCTTGTGTAAACTAACAATAAATAAGAGTCTTATGAAATCAAGAGAGATGGAGGACAAGGAAGTGGGCCATGTGTTAGACCTTACACAGGACAGCCCTCTGTTTGAAGAACTGGCCAGTAAGCCCAAATCATCTTCCTCTGATTATAGATTTTGCTCTGCATGGTGGAGTATTTTCCAGAGTAAATACAAAATCCAAGGCAGTCATGACAAAATCCATAAGTGGGTGATAACTTTGCTACAATTCCATTTCATCAGACTAGGTGGCCCCAAAAATATGGAGGAAGGGAGGGGAGAAGAAGGGAAATCAAAGAAAATTGGCTAAATATTGTAGCCACAAGGTCTACATGCAAATCCTTCCCTTCCTTTCTTTTATTCTTGCAGTTCCAGATTATGCAAGGTATTGCTTTACACTATGAGTACTTGGTTTTACAGCCAGTCATAACCCTGTTTGCTCAAGAGTAAGCCCTAATACTTTCTACTAGACTTACTTCTGTAGAAGTAAGCATGTTTTGGCTTGCAAACTTGGTTACACTTTAATTTCTGTGCAAACATAACCCTTTGCTTGCACCATCGCTCTGTGCCTCTTCTCTGATGAGCTGAGATCGATGTTGGACCGAGGTCAACAGGTGGAACAAGAAGGATTCATTTTGCATGCCACAAAAGTGTGTGAATTGCACTTTTTTATTCGAATACCATTGAGCCGGTAAGTTTCTACTACATAAACATGTACGACTTGCATTGTAATTATGAGGAACTGACATGCATACCATATCTAAATCTTTCCCCTGAATCTTCTAAAAGAGCAAATCAACATGCCCTAGCAAAGTAAGGAATGTACGAAAGAACGCTGAGAGGGGGCTTTGGCAGGTGTGGCAACACACAACTGGTTTCCAAGCTGAGGGGGGGNGGGGGAGAACTATAGGAAACAAGTATAGTTGACGTTCTGGTTCAGCTGTTAAAGAACTCTGATTCTTCTTTTAGTGAGTAAGTACAAGGACAAATGCATTGTCCGATAAGAGTGACATGGGTTATTTTTTTATCCCGTGCTTTGCAATGATGAACTAATTGACTGTAATAGGTTTTGGAAGGGGTAAAGTAATGTGATTCATCAGAATGAATGAAACACAAATTCATAGTAAAAGTCTCAATGGCAGTACTGTTACTTTGCAATTTTGAGATGTTATGGTGACTATGTTAATGCTGAATTCAAGACTGCCTCCCTGGTCTCTACCACAGTCCCTTTCTCATGCTCTTGTTCCTTTGAAAACAGCTTTTAATTTTTTTAAAAAATATATACAGTATATATACATATTTTGGAAAATTTCCCTAGCATTGAGATAAGATGTAGCAAGACAGGGGTTTTTATAAGCATAGTTTATGAGATTCAGGCCAATAAACAGGTAGTGATTCTAGGAGATAAGGAAAAAAAATATGTTTGAAATGTTGAAAACCGAACACAGAAAGTTAGAAAATGATTTAATTTAATGCCAGCACTAAATATATTAAAGATGGGAAGTAACTATTGGCTCTGCAAATAATAACACTGCAAGACTTAAAGAAAAGCAGAAGAGTTTCCTGAGTTTAAATTTGCAAAATTTCAACTCAGGAAACATTTCGTCTTCTACTTCCAGATTGTTTAGTCATCATCCTCATATGCTGTCAAGTCAGTTCTGATTCATGGTGAGCATTTTCATAGGGTTTTTCAGGTAGAGAATACTCAGAAGTTGTTTACCATTCCCTTCTTCTGGGGATGCTCTGGGATTTGTGCAGCTTGCCCAAGGCTATACAGGCTGGCTCTTCTCCTAGGAGGCACAGTGGGGAATCAAACTCCCAACCTTTTGCTCGGCAGCCAGATACCTAAACCACATTTTGGTGGGTAAAATCGTTCGGAGGCGTACAGGGCCCTGCTGCTAGACAGAATGTAGTACCTGTCTCAGGCAGAAGATTTGGGGTGTTATGAATGGGCACCAGTTCTTAGTTGCTTAATCTGTTAAATGTTTCCTGGTAGTTATGAGAAGAGGTGCTTGAGGTTGCTGGCTGTTCGTGTTACTGATGTGGAGGATGGCCTCAGGCTGACTCTGCTTGAGAGGAGGCAAAGGTAGCATGGCTAGCTTTGGGTACTCTGCACTTTAACCTGGTGGGTGTGGGGTGCAGTTTGCTGCTCAGCTGTATAGTTCAATATGTTTTGGGTTAGCCCAGAGTATGTATCATATAGTTCTAGATCTCTGGCAGTGCTTTTGACTTTAATTGAGTTGGCAATGTTGACTGCCACTTACACTTGGGATGGGTCACTAGGTTCTCCTTTTGGAGGGAACATCGCTGGCTTTTCATGACAATGTCATTAAATATTTTCAACAGAGAACACAACCTGACTCACTGACTTCAATACTCTGCACTGTGGGTCAGCTTTTAAGCTGCCACACCATAGAAACGGATTCAAAACGATCCTAATTGCAGCCATTTTCCCTTGTTTTCATTCTAGACTTCACTGACTGTGTTACAGCTTCCTGCATATAGCTATGGACCGAAAAATTAATTGGCTGTTCCTTATCCTGCTGTATGGGGCTATTGAAAGCAGTGAGGGATGCTACTGTGACCGTTATCCGTGGACCTCCTGGTCTAGCTGTTCAAAGAGCTGTAATTATGGGACTCAGAGTAGGCATAGGTAAGTGATACATGCTATATTGATTTCATAATACTTACATTAAAAAAAACTCTTTTAAGTTATGCCTTAGAACTATTCCTCTGTAAAGCTATGCCCCATCTGGAAATAATAATAGATTTATCAATGACATGTTGCCTTGTTTTAGTGCTTCATGGAGACAATTTAAGGAATATAAATAATAGCTAACTAAATCATCTCCCACCTGGATGTTACTTTTAAAGCACGTGAAAGAAACAGGTAGGATACTAAGAGAATATTCCAAGCTACAGACATTGAATCTATCAAAATCCTAAAAATAATATGACAACAAACATGGAAAGCAAAACAATAGTCTGCAGACTGGAAATATTCAATACACATTGCAATCCAGAAAAAAATTATGCAAAAGGTGCAGTAACTTATAGGGCCATCTCATTAGTCTCCCATACAAGCAAACTGATGTTCAAGGTTTCGCAGCAAAGAATTCTGCCATATATGGAGTGATGTACAAGTCAGATTCGGAAAAAGATAAGACACTGGAGACCATATTGCAAATATGAATTGGCTTTTGGTGCATATTAAAGAATTTCAGAAGAAAATCACTGTGCTTTATAGATTAGACCAAGCCTTTGGTTGTACAGATGATGAAAAGTTAGGCACCATTCTAAAAAAAAGGGTGTGCCTGAACACTTGGTTGTCCTGACATGTAACCTATACTCTGGATAAGAGGTTACTGTTAAAACAGAAAATGGATAAACAGAATGTTTTCTCATTGGCAACATTGGAAAAGAATTGTGTATTTTATCCTCCTTACTGTTCAGTCAATATGCAGATCATATGGAAAGCTGAGTTAGAGTCAGATAAAGGAGATGGCAGAAATGATGGAAGAAACAACAGTAATTTAAGATAAGCAAATCACACCATATTGCAGGTGGAAAACAGCAAATGATTCCTGATTAACATGAAAGAAGAAAGTGCAAAAACAGGATTGTAGTTGAATCTTGAGAGGACAAAAATCATGTCTATAGAAGAATTACATGACATTAGTGTTGACAAGGAATAAATCAAAATGATTAAAGATTTTCTATACTTCAATTCAGTTGTCAGTCCAAATGGGGATTGTAGCTAAGAAATCAGGAGAAGTCTGAAACCTGAAAGGGCAGTTTTGAAGGAATTAGAAAATATCTGAAGTAAGGATGTATCACTGGAGACCAAAGCCAAGGTCACTTACACCATAGTATTCCTCATTATTATGTACAGATGTGACAGCTGGGCAATGAAGAAAGCCAGGGGGGGGAATCAGTTCATTTGAAACATGGTTTTGGAAGACAGCTTTACAAATATAAGGACTACCAGAAGAACAAATAAGTGGGTTCTAGATCAAATCAAACCAAAATGACTAAATAGAGGCCATTGTACTCTGGGCACACCATGAGAAGATAAGACTCTATGGAAAAGACAATAATGCTGGAAAAAGGGAAGGCATCAGGATAAGAGGAAGACCAAATAAGAGATTGATTGACTCAATAAAGGAAGCCACAGTGTTGTGTTTGCAATAGCTAATTCATAGGGTGAGCATAACTCAGAAGTGACTTGGCAACACATAACAACAACAACTAAATTCAGGGGAGTTTTGTTTATTTGGTATAAAATTCATGTTGAAGGGGCCAGGTCAGCCATTAGGTAGAGTAAGTCAGTTACCTCAGCTGGCAAACTTGAGAAAGTAGCAGCAAGATGTTAGAGTAAATTGGCCATCTCTTCCCTCAATCTACATTAATGTCTTCCAGGATGAAGTACAATGGACCCTTGACTTACGGAATTAATCCATATTGGAACGGTGGCTGCAGGTCGAAAAGTCTGTAGGTCGAGGCTCCGTTGACCTACAATGCATTGAAAACTGATTAATCCGTAACCGGCCGTTTTTGTTCCATTTTGGGTTTTTTTCCAGTCTTTGGGTCGATTCTCCGGCTGCAAGTCGAACCTAAATTTTGCGGCCAGAGAAGTCTGTAACTCGAAAAGTCTGTAAGTGGAGCCATCTGTAAGTCAAGGGTCCACTGTAAGGAGGGAAAAAATGCTCTCTACTCACTAATGTAGCCTCATTCAGGTTGTGCAGACTAAGGACTGTTGTTTCTTTGTTGAGTGAATCCATCTCCTGTTACCTCTTTCTCTTTTCCTACTACCTTCCGCTTTTCCTGGCATCATCATCCTTTCCAGTGAATCTTATCTTCTCATGAGATGTTCAAAGAACTGTAACCTCGGTTGAGTCATTTGAGCTTCCAGTGAGAATTCAGGCTTCATTTGATTCACCAGCTGGATTTTTTCCCTCTCCAGATTGTTCCTGCTGCTTCCCCCCACTGAGCATAAATATCTACAAAGATAAACATGCACGTGGAATGACATATAGGGGGTTGGGAGAGGTTAAGCACCCCTCCTTCTTCTTTATTTCCTTTCAAATTGCCTGTTCCCAAACCAACACTGCTCTGTTTGTCATTAATAAAAATGGTGGTCAAGTTCTTGATCCAGATATTTGTGTGGAAATATGTACAGCTGCTCCATCCGTTCTCCTCTCTCCCTTTTCCTCAGTTCATAACCACTACAGAAAATCCAAACTGTTTAAAAAATAATAATTTTTTGAAAAAGATATCCATCACACTAGATCAGTCGTTCCCAACCTTGAGTCCCCAGATGGACTAAAACTCCAAGACACCTTCATTGCTCCCTGTATTGGCCATGATTTCTGGGAGCTGTAGTTTAAGAATGTCCAGAGACCCAAAGTTGGAGCCACTGCACTATACAATTATTCTCAGCCTCTGTCCCTTGTGATGGATATATGAGTATGACTTCTAGATTCGGGACCCCTTGAAACAAAGGATTTGTCACTATAATTGCACACCCATCTTTTGCGTCCTTACTTCCATTTTTTGTGTTCTAGGCAAATACAGGTGGATGAGTACTATCTCAAAAACTTCTGTGGGCAAATTTGCTCCAATCAGGAATCCAGGGCCTGCAACCAACAGATGTGTCCAATCAATTGTCAGCTTGGAGACTTTGGCTCTTGGTCTGAATGTGACCCATGTATTAAGAAACAAGTAAGTAAAAACAAACAAATAAATGAATGAACAATAATAAATCAACACATTGTGGAGAATATGGTTCGAAAAATGAGATAGTGGTGAACAAGATGAAGCCTTTGCATTTTCCATGCACTTGTGAAGGAGACAGTTGGGTTGTGTAGGCTACAGAGCTTGGAGAAATTCCTTTTTTGGACTACAGCTCCCCAAATCCCCATATTTGTGTTGACTGAGAAGAATCTAAGCCAAGAGGAACTACTCTTTTGATTCTGGCAGTCCTGACTTCTGTTTAGACTTTATGGTTAAAGATGGGGAAGACCACTGCCTGAGAGCCTGAAGAGCGAATGCCAGGCCATGGAGACACTATGGGTCTAACTTGGGGTGGGCAGACTTGGAACTAGAGATGGGCACAAACCGGTTTGTCCCAGTTCATCCCAGTTTGTAAAGGCAGAAACTCCCCTCCTCCACTTCCTCAGCCAATCAGCCACTCACCCAGTCTAGCTTGCTTGCTTTTTCCACCTTCTCCGCCCTGTCAGGAGCAAGAGCATAGATTTCTGCCTTTTTGTTTGAGTGGGAGATTAGCCAAAATGGCAGGCAGAGAAGCCTGAGCTATTGCCAGGACTGGAAGACCAGTTGAGGAGGTGCAGGAAGCAAGCATGCTGGACCTGGTGAGTGACTGATCGAGCCAGAGGAGGGGAGCAGCAGCACCTCTGCTGTGGCCTTGATGGACAGGGATGAACTGGGACTAACCTATTTGTGGCCATTTCTACTTGGGGCATTTCTGGTGCTGAATATGAGAGGAGAGGGAAAATGAAAAATCAAAGCCAAATGATACTTCCTGGTTATTGTTGTGCCCTGCACCCCATTTTACTGCAAATATATGGCTCCTGAATGCTTCCAGGAATAGAAAAAGTAATTTTTTGCAGAAATTATTTGCAGTTAGAGGCTCCAAAGATGACCTTGGAAAGCAACCAGCAGCCCTCTCAATTTGCCTATTCCTGGATAGGTAGCAAGCTCACTTGGTATAGGACAGCATCTTTCAAAGCAATTTGCCTGTAGTTTTCTGGGCCCTTAACGTTTGGAAGAAATAGACAACTGGCTGTTTCTCTCCCTGATACACTCTGGTTAGAACTGTTTCGCTTGTGGGCCTGTTGCATTATTTCCTTGCTTCTCACTGCTTAGTGAAAGTGTAACAGTATTACAAGGTATTATGTGTTTGAAATAATTAATATAAAGATCCTGAACATCGTCCCCCCTATGGTTTGTAAAGTTAATGGCATTTACTGGTCTTCCTATCAAAGGGCATGCAGAAAAAAAAGTCAGTGCTACTCCTGGATTTAATGATGCTCTTCTTCTGCTTCTCAGTTCCGTACCAGATCCCTGGTCCAACCTTCTCAGTTTGGGGGACAGCCCTGTAGCGGGCAACTGGCAGAGTCCCGGAGATGCTACCCAACTAAACTTTGCAAAATTGAGGAAGTCAACTGTGAGAATAAATTCCAGTGTGATAATGGTAACTCATGATTTTATCTCTCTCTTTTAAAATTATTATTATCTTGTCCTGATTTAGAGGAATTTTTGAAAGTCACAAATAAACTAAGGTGTTTTTTTAAAATTATTATTATTTAAGAAAAATACTTAGAAAAACTTCCCTGAAATATCTTCTCTGAGAGACTTTGGAACTCCCTCCCACAGGGGGCCAAGCTGGCCCCAGATATCCTTCTGCAAACAGGCAAAGACCTTTCTCTTCAGGCAAACGTTTTCTCAATGATTGCCTGCCTGAGTGGGGTTTTTAAATGAATAGTTGTACCTTACTGCTTTGAATGCATATTTGGTGTTGCTAATGCTTAATGTTTCTTTTAAGTGGTATTTGCCTCATCCTTTTTAGTATTTGCATACTTACTGTTGTAGCTTCAGGTATTGTCTCTTTTTAAGGATACAAGTCACCTTGGATCCTTTTTAAGGAAAAAGGTGGGATAAGAATAACCTAAATAAATACATAAATGCTCTAATTGGCACTTGCACACATTGAAGATCCAGCCTGAGCAAAAGCAGAGAGGAACCAGTCAGTGATTTAGAGAAAAAACGTTCCACTCCTTCAGTGCCAGACATCTCCACAGCAGCTCTCTGTGTCACAGGGGTCCAAACGACTGAAACACTATAGCGTAAATCTCCAGCTCTGTGGAATGGAAGCTTAGTCTCCATGGAGCTTAGTCTCCATGGGTATTGGTTTTGCTCTGGGCAACTGGCCCCCAATATTAAGATAGCTTGACAGTGATTAATGACCTTCAGAAGAGTGGGGCCTGCTTTGAAGCTTTGGGGTAG